GGGCTTGGTCTTCTCTGATAGTACTTGTAGTCGGTGTGGATGGGGAGTTTGATGACTTGAATCTGTTTCTTGTTGCTGACACTGGCACCTCCAGCGCGCTCATGGTCAAGCTCAAGTTTTGTTGAGAATTTTGCTGTGTCCGCTGAAGGGCAATGCTAAGCTTTGGCCGTGTCACGTCGAGGTTTGGCACACCGCAACTCCGACGTTGATTTAGACTGTTACGCCCTCGACGGTTGTTAACAGTTTTGTTATTTCGTCTTATTTCTTTTAATCGAATATTTGCGGCAATGTTATGCTAGGAAAGGGATGTCTAGCAAGGAGCAACTAATGTACATACAAGCTGCCGTTCAGCCGCAAATCGAAGGGAGTATGGGTCAAGTGAAGGATGTAAAAAAGGAGGGTAAATTGTAGAATGAACGACGAAGAGCAAGCAAAACTGAATGACAAGAAAGATAAATAGCGCGTAGCGCTACTGGTGAGTAATCAGAAGATGAAGGTCCTCGCCTCTTGATATTAAACAATGGGATATATGCGTCAACAAACCATGAGAGAACGAGAACAAGACGTCTATTTCCTTTGCCTGCTTCGGCCGGCACGCGATCGTCCATTGCGGTTCCTGTTACCACCACGGTTCCTTCGTCCACCACGGTTACCACCTTGGTTGTTACCATTATTGGCAGCGGCAGAGGAAGTAGCGGCAGCGGCGGCACTAGTGGTCGATACAGCGGCAGAGGTGCTAGCTTGAGCGTTGTTGCCGTTATTAGCTCCATTATTGCCGTTGTTATTGTTGCCGTTATTGTTGTTTCCGTTGTTGTTGTTATTGCCGTTCTGGTTGTTCCCGTTATTGTTATTGCCGTTCTGGTTGTTCCCGTTGTTGTTATTACCGTTGTTGTTGTTGTTCCCATTGTTGCCGTTGTTATTTCCACCACCGGCGACAGCAGTGGCGTAGATGCAGTCATCAAGACTACCATGCTGCGCGACAGCTACCATAAGAGGAGTATGGTTGGCGGACGTATTCATCTAAGAGAGTAAGAGGTTAGCGAAGAAACTTGTACTTGATACGTGAACGTACGGTGCAGAAACGATATGCGCCAGCGGGAAGTCCGTTCGTAACATCGACGGTAAGAACACCACCTTGGTCACGGGTATTGATGCCCTTGAAGAACGCAAAGGTGGTAGGGTCTAGTGGCTCGGTGGACTTGATATCAGGCAACAGCTGAACCGTAACGTGGGAATGTCCAACAACGGTATTGCCTTGCAGGAATTGTGGGGCACCGTAATAGTTGGTCTGGGCATTGACGAAATTACCAGTAATCATGTTCTGGATGGACATCTTGAACTGGAAGGATTGGTCCGCGGGGAATGTACCGCCGTTGGTGGGGAACGTAATCTTTGCGGCTGGCATATTGTTTTGCGGAATGATCTCTCCCATAACAACTCCGTTACAACTTCCGCCAGTGATTTGCTGGCCGTTCGTGAGGGTCTTTCCGGCACAGAAGTTGAGGCTAGTGAATGAGATCAGACTACGCTCGTCCATCCATAAGACAATACATACAAGTTGTTGGACGACGTGAGGGAGGCGGATTGACCGTCAACCGGAGGGTTCTGGCCATTGTCCGTGCACGCCGTGCAAATAACCGAGGGGTCAAGAGCTAGGGAATGATCAGAGCTCCAAACATTACGAGAGGGTGATGGACGTACTCAGAGACTCTTGAGGATTCTGGTTATTATTGTTCTGGTTGTTGTTGTTGTTGTTGTTGTTGTTGTTCTGGTTCTGGTTCTGGTTGTTTTGGTTCTGGTTGTTCTGGTTGTTCTGATTGTTCTGGTTCTGATTGTTCTGGTTATTCTGGTTTTGGTTGTTTTGGTTATTCTGGTTATTCTGATTATTTCCACCAAAACGGTTGCCACCAAACCGGTTGCCATTCTGGGCCACAACGCTAGCGGCGAGCAGAACCAACGTGAGCAGAGAGGTCTTCATGGTTTATTTTTTTCTGATTTTATGGCTTTCTATCGAAACGAGTGTTTGCTTGCGAATAAAAGTGGGCGGCCAAGCCTGGTCGAGTCGACGGAGGTTAGCACCGACCAATGACAACGACATATCTGATCTACTCACGTCGTTCTTGAAAATAAGAAAGAGAGAATAACAAGCAGCCTCGGCTTGGCGAGTGTGACTTGAAGAAAGAAAAAAGGATGGAAAGGAAAGAAAGAGTAGGTGGTGAAAGGTAAGAGTGATGGCCAGCGCGTCGTTGTTTGGTTTTTATGACTACGATGATGCCGAGGTGCCCTGTCGTGATAGCGGAACCCAGCGTTGCCAAGGCGCGTTGTTCATCCCATTTTTAGCGACTAAGGTTTTCAATGCCAAATATATTAGGAACCAATCAATTGTAAAGATCATATAAGCGGAGAGAAAAACAGGAAACAGGAAACGGTGCTACCGGAAAGGAATGATGGGTGCAGAAGGCAACGAGGGAGCGGGACTATCAAAAAGAGTGGTTTTTAGGTATCAGACGACGCTTATCTCCTCACGTCGTCAATCCCAATCAGGATCATTACTCAACCCATAGTACTAGTAACGAATTAGAATTCAGCGGTAGAGCCTTGGGCGGCAAGGCGGCTCTCGAGGTTCCTACAAAGTACATGTCAGCTCTTGTTCGTCCTCTTTTGCGAGAGAATGCATACCTGAGAGATTCCTCCTTCGCCAGAAGCTCTTGCCTCTTCTCGTTGATCTCTCGTTGAACCTTGAGTTCAATTTCGCGCAACTGTGGACGGAATTAGTTCAAACTATTTTTTAGTAATGTTGACGCGTATTGCGTACCTTCTCTTCCTCACGACGGAGTTGCTCTTCCTTAAGGCGGACACTCTGGGTAGCGAGATCCTCGGGCAAGATGGAGGAGTCGCTAAGATCGGAATTAGGATCTGCATACAACCTAGCCTAAATATAACTCACTGTTCAGCGTGCACGGTCCTGGACAACTTCTCGGTACGATAAGTTTCGTACAAGACGTCGTGGGTCAGCGACTTGAGATCGGTGAGGTGCGAGCTAGACAACAAAATGAGCATTTGCAGGCAGTAACTAAAAAGGTACATACTTCAAGAGTGCAGAGCGGAGTCTGCTGAAGTCAGAGTGCTTGGGGTTGTCGACCTCTGCCAAGCCCCATGGGTAGACACGAGCACGGATGAGCTCGCCATCAACCTCGACTTCCTCCTCAGAACCAATGATGGCGAATGGGAGCAATGCCTATTCCATGTCAGCTACATCCAGGGACCGCCAATTATATTCTTACCCTCAATTCGCTGTTATCCATGATCGTCTCCTCATCATCTTCCTCAACATCGTAGGGGAAGTTGTAGATGGGGATATCGTAGTGTTCAATGTCTTCCATGATCTAGATAAGGGGGTCAGATTCGCATCAAATTTCCAGAGAGGCCAGACATACGCGCTTCTTGAAAGTCTTGAGCTCACTAGGGGTCAAGGTATCTGCTTTGCCAATGACGGGGATGACATTGACACGGGGAGAAAGACGGCGCATCAACTCAATGTCGATTTCACGGAGGCTACATTTCGTGTCAGCTATCGTTCCCCTCAATGATTTGAGACTACTCACGCATGGCCGGTAGGGGTGATGAAGTAGAGGAGAGCGTGAACTCGATTGTCACGGAAGCGTGGGTTACGCTTGATGCGAGACTCTTCAGCGAGGATATCATCGTATTGGCGCTCGATATATCCAGCAATCTCTCCGAATCTGAAGTGAAACATGAGCAATGGTATCATGTAAATCAGGTCCGTCACCTCATCCGCGCGGTACTCACGTGAACTCGTTGTCAATGTTATCACCAAATCCTGGTGTGTCGACAATAGTCAATGAAATGCGAACTCCGTCCTCTTCGAGTTCTACAAAATGAACAGTCGGTTGAGTCTCTGTGATCTCCGTTAAACAATTTCGAATCGGAACTCACCAACGACGACGGGCTTGATTCTGATACCTTCTTCAATATGAGCGGTCTCAGGATTGTCGCAAACTTTATGCGCAATGATTTCCGACTCGCAAAGGGTATTTACGAATGTAGTACGTCCAGTGCCGGATGCACCTTTACACATTTTCGCATCAGCAACGGACGGAGGTCACAGATAAGTAGAGCGGGGCACTTACCAACAACCATGATGGTGAATTGCACTCCCTTTTTTACGTTCTTTCTGCGCGAGGCCATGATTTTTGAGGATTGTCTTTTGGAGGAAAGTCGAAACGCGGTCTGAGTCTTCGCTGTCGCAGCGGTTCACCTGCCACCTCAAGCTAAATGCCCTGCCTTGCATGCTAGCCGTTCGAACTATCCGTAATGCTCAAACATCATCACGACTTGTCCGTCATGGCTATATTGAACTGTCCAGATACATGTCAGACACGAAGAAGACCTCTAAAACGCGAGTGAAAAAGAATAAAAGTGATCTTCCTGACACTGCAGTTTTACCTTCGGGAGAGACGGCTGCACCACTGCCTGAATGGCAAGGAGGTCTTCGAGGCCGTAAGAAACTGGGTGATTGCTCTTTTCTATATCACATGTGGCGTGTTTGACGCGTTATAGTAGCCAAGGATGAACTTGAAGAAACACTAGCCATACGTGAGTTGCAATACAATTGTATCAGAATATGAAAGTCTGAAAACGCCATCATAGCGCCCAAAAAGAGTAAAAATAAAAAAGAAGGAAAACACAAGGATATGGAAGTGGTAGCTGACGGTCTGTATACGCTTACTTTTCCCAACTTTGTACAAACACTGAAGTTAAGTCCGATTTAGCAACAGAAGTCGATGAAATTTCAGGTCCTAAAACCGATCTTGCGATGGAAATTTATCAAAATTTACAACGTTTTCCTCATTGTTTACTGTTTACGCGCGTAGGGCAATTCTATGAGGTAGATGTTTTATCTTTCAAAGCATTCAAGCCAACTAACATTCTTAGTCTTATTTTCATCAAGCAAGCGAGATTTCAAAGCTACTCAATATTAAGGTATCTTATTTTATCGAGTGTCTGCTATTACTCTAACGATCCGCCAGCTCACCTCAAAGCAATGGGGAGGCAAGCGAGTTGATATGTGCGGGTTTCCCATAAGCCAGCTTGAAAAGCACCTCAAAGTACTTATTCGTGGCCACCAGCGTTGTGTAGCGCTGTGTGAGGAGTTTAAACAGCCACACGGTGGATTCGAGCGACGAGTAACGCGAGTCCTCACACCAGGAACTCTGATCGACGAGGCGTTTCTAAACCCATATGAAAATAACTACGTGTTATCCGTGACCTGTCCGCCCAGTGCTACGAGCAAAGACACCCCTATCGGTTTAGCCTGGATGGACGTATCTACCGGGGAATTCTTTAGTCAACAATCGATACTTGGGAGTCTTCATGACGATATAGTCCGCATGGCTCCGAAAGAAATCGTCCTCAGTGAGGATCTTCGCGAAAACAAGGACCATCCCGTAAGGAGGGAAGTAGGAGAAGAGCCGTCGATTTATGTGTCTTTCGCTACGCAACCCAAAGAAGAGCCTCAATTGACCATCGACCTACCAGAAAAATCAAATACGGACGATGGGATCTCCTTGATGACACCATGCGAATACTCTCCAGAAGAAACCCTGGCAATATCCCAGTTAACCAAATTTCTGGCCGAAATTTTACTGGAATATATGCCAGCAATGCTCAAACCTTTACAGCTGGCTACGGAAGAACGTATGCAAATTGATGCTCATACAATCAAGTCTTTGGAAATCAAGACGGGCATACGCGAAGGTGGAACAACAGGGACTCTCCTAAGCTCTATCAATCGGACAATAACTACTAGTGGCTCCCGATTGCTGAGCCGTTGGATATGCTCCCCTAGTACATCAGTTGCAGAAATTACTGCTCGACAAGATATAGTGGCATTTTTCGTAGCTCGGCCCCACCTACGGAGCGACCTGATCAGCTTACTACGCAAGATCGAAGATACGGCAAGGATTGTTCAGAAATTTCTGGCGGGTAAAGGAGCGGCTAGTCATCTTCGTGATATAGCAACTGCAATCTCTTCCTGGGAAGCATTACGAGAGCGATTTGTATTAGAAAGGAAGATGGAGGCTCAAGAAAGAGGCCCACTTGTTGGTTGGCAACGCCTAGATACATTACTGTCCAACATGAATTCTCTTCAAGAATTGAAGGAGATGATTTTGACAGCCGTCGATGTAACCGAAGAGATGGAGGAGGCCCTAGACGCTGAAGATGAAATGTTGGACCCGATGGTCGTCACTGCCACTCCTAAATCTCCATTGACGGGTGTATTTAAATGGACCATAAAACCTAGGTGCGCCTTTTCTTTATAGGTACGACCTCGACTTACAACCGAAAGCTATTCACCAGCCCTACGCGAGCTTCATGATCGTCTAGAAGTATTGAAGAAAGAGAAGGATGAACTAGAGATGACATACCAAGCAAAATTCTGTGAATCCATATCTCTTTTCGATGTCAAGCACTAACTCGACTTTGCTAGTTGCTAATAGCCTATCACTGAAAGCGTCACCACATCTTGGTTACCACGTTCACGTAAAGAAACGAGACGCCTCCAAGATCAGTACGGATCCTAATTTCATATTATTATCGGAGAGTGGTAGTACGAAGACATTTTTCAATGATGTGGGTGATGCATATTATTGGTCAATACGCGTCCATCTTATCTACTTGTAGGGATGGTTCAAACTCGGGACATCTTTGGCCGAAATTTCCGATAATATCTTGTTGATGGAACGTACAGCATTCCTCGAATTGCGAGAGGCTGTAAGCCTTGTCCACCCGTAGGATGGGTTCATTGGAAGCTAAGCCTAGAACAGGTTACTGCTCAATCTACCACTTTGCGCAGAAATGCCAGGATCATCGACGAATTGGACGTGACTCTCGCATTTGCGGAAACGGCCGTTGAAATGAACCTTGTCCGTCCGACCGTCACGGAAGGGTATGATTCCAATTAGGCACTCATTTGGATTCTAACACAGCCCAAGAAACGACTATTCTGTACTTAATGGTCGACATTCGACTGTGGAGCTGGGTCTCTTAGGGGCTGGTAGGCTCTTTGTGCCTAACAGCGTTGACCTGAATCCTTCGGCCCAAATTCATGTCATAACAGGGCCAAATATGGCAGGTATACAGTATCCTTTTTGTCTGATGAAGCTCATCTGATGGTCAAAAGGAAAATCTACACTGCTCCGTCAAACAGCCCTTATTGCAATTTTGGCACAAACGGGTTCATTCGTTCCTGCAGATTCGGCTCGCATCGGAATTGTAGACAAACTTTTCTCTCGTGTCGGTGCTAAAGACGACCTCTTCAGAGATCGAAGCACTTTTATGGTGGAAATGCTGGAAACCGCCGAAATTCTCAATCGAGCCACTTCCAAAAGTCTCGTTAGTTGAAATTTTCTGTAAATAAGCCTCTGCTGATTTCCTTTCAGGTGATTATGGACGAAGTTGGGAGAGGAACATCGATGAATACTGCCCTGGCCATTGCATTCGCTACCATTCATCACCTCTATACCCATAATCTCTGTCGTGCCCTATTTGCTACTCACTTTCATGAAATTGCAGACATGCTCAACTATGACGAAAAGACTCACAAAGGGGGTGACTTATTTCAGAATGTTGCCTTCTTCTGCACAGATGTCGATGAGCTCGAGGTTAGCGGCTTATCATACTTAAATGCAAATATGCTGACATCTGATAGAACGGGGCTTTTGCGTATTCTCACAAATTGAAACCGGGTGTCAACCGAGATAGCCATGGCCTTAAAGTCGCCAAGTTAGCGGGAATGCCTTCATCTGCATTAGATTTGGCCTCTGTTGCTCTTAAGCACTTGCAAGGGCATCATAGTTCCTTAATTGGGCAGCGAGTGGACGACTTGCGTATACTTGGCTCTACATTGGCTCGCAAGGATGCCACTTCTTGAAGTCAGATCCATCTTCCCCATTTATCCATCATTTATGTATCGACAAAGCAACTAGATACATTATAATCAAATAAACTGTATCCTAATCAACTCGACATGCGCAATGAACGGATGTGATTCAAGGCAGAGCCTGCTTGTAACCATTTTAGCTGGTCCGTTGACATAGTATTTTTGGTCTTGATGATAAACGATTCCCCATCCCGTTTACTGACGCGAAGTTGGACATCCTTACCCTTACCGGCAAGTAATTCCGCGAGACCAATCGTTTCTATCTTGTCTCCGGATGATATGCGACTGTAGTCGCTTTTGTCGGCAAACCAAAGAGGCAAGACCCCTTGCTTCTGCTGTGGTTTTAGTTTGAAGTATCGTTGTGTGATGGCATCACATACCTTTAAATTTGTCTCGTGAATTCGAGCAAATGAACGGGCAACAATTAAACCACAACCTAAATTGGGATTGCTGAGCTAAAATTCGTGCCTTTGTGATATGTGAACTATTTACCGTAGAAACGAGGTTGTAATGCTGCATGTTCCCGCGCAGAACCTTCTCCATAGTTCTCGTCAACGACGAGGGCCCATGGTTGTCCGCGGCTCTTGAACCGCTTGGCGACCTCGGGTATAGTCCCCGTTGATTGTTCTGATCCTGATCTGGCATCGTGGTCCAAAGCAACATTAACTTCTCCATTTTCGTCGTTCACTCCCTGAAAACTGATTAACCCAATTCAACCGTTACATAGTATGATCTCACTGTTATCAAGAGATTCTCGCTGATATTACTAAGGTGTCCTGTGGATATGTTAGTGAGCAGGTACAGCGATTAGGAACTATTAGTAACCTTTATACTTCAACCACGGGCCCTATTCCATGATGTGAGTAAGGAGATGGGTGCGAGATATAATGGATAACGCACCGCAGCAGATATATGATCGGTTGTACACTTTCCCCTCACCCGCATAAGGCATGTCATTGCTGGTAGCTCGGCTGGGACACCATTGGCAAAATGCGAGGCAAATGGCTCCAGGACCTCCAACCTTGATGAGGTGGGAGAAATGACAATAGAGACCTCAGGCTGTGGTTTTGGATTTGGCTTGGGGTAAAAATCCGGGTTGCCTAAACCGATTCAGCAGACTACCCAGCACAATGGAATATCACAAACCTGCTTCGAATCCATTTGCGGGGAGAGTTTTGCCTACGGGCGCTTTGAACCTGAATTCCTTTCCGCTCGGCGTAGCAATGGTATCTGTCACCGGATTGAAAGATAGCTTTCCACTGAACGCCATGGCAGTCACAACAGATGGGGAGGCTAGGAAGTTCATGGTCTTCTGGTTGCCATCATTTCTTGATTTGAAGTTACTATGAAGTTTATGAGTCAATTATTTGGATATATGTTCTCTGTAATACCGATTGAAAGAAGTCAAAATAGCTAGGAAATGGGTTAGAGATACTGAAGAAAATAAATCTGATGGGGCATACAATTCTCCTCCTTAGATTCAGGTCTTTTCCACTACATAAAATGGTCAAATTCCTGTATTAGGTAGGGAAAAAGTTCAAGTACCTGACCGATGCAAGGGCCACAGGCATTGGCAAGGACGGTAGCACCAACACTCTCAAGAGATGCAGTGATACCATCTCTCTCCATTGTAGCTCGTATCTGCTCTGATCCTGGAGTGCACAAGAACGGTACCTGTGTCTTTAAGCCAGCTTCCCTGGCTTGATTCGCTAATTCGGCGGCACGAGTCTGCTTCACATTAAGATCGAGAATATGTCGCAGGTGATGGTTTGCACTGACCATATCCTCATAGCTACTATTAGTGCATGAGCCGATGAGGGCTGCAGAAACTTCATCTTTCCATCCTTTCTCTTGTATAAGCATAGGAAACTTTGAAAGCGGTGTGGCGAGATCCGGGGTGAATGGTCCATTCAAAGATGGTTCAAGGTCGCCCAAGTTCTATAACGGCTGAGCATTTGAGACGATAGCAATGATGATCAACACTCACTACTTCGATAATCTCATCGTATTCCGCATTTTCGTCTGCCTTTAGGTATCCTTTCAGCGCCGCTAAATCTGCTGCATCAGCAACAGGTGATCTACCCGTAGCTCGTAGGTATGATTGCATGGATGGGGTGTACGGGAAGGTGGAAGTGGTTGCACCAACTTCAGCACCCATGTTAGCAATCGTGGCAAGGCCAGTACAAGACTGGTTGAATACTCCTTCCCCAAAGTATTCCAGGATTCTCCCTGTACCGCCCTATGCTGCAGGTGAATATTCCAAAAAGCCGACAGGGATACTAGTAGCTTACCTTCACGGTAAGCTTGCCGGCAAGATGCAGTATGAGATCTTTGGGGCTGGTCCACCCGTGGTCTGGGAATTTGCCTTTCAAGTGTACGCCAGTGATCATAGGTGCCTTAAGTTCCCAAGGAGTTCCAGTCATCGCATCGACGGCATCAGCGCCTCCTACACCAATAGCAAGAAGTCCAAGGCCACCAGCATTAGGGGTATGGCTATCTGTGCCTAGCATAAGCATTCCAGGGGCGGCATAGTTTTCGAGGACAATTTGGTGTATTATCCCACTTCCTGGACCCCAGAACTCGATACCTAAGAAAGATATTACGTCATGAAAATCATAAAAATACACCCCATTTACCATATTTCTTGGCCGCTGATTCCAAAAACTCGAAAACCTCTGCATTTGTGACTAAAGACCGCTGAAGAATGTTAAAGCGGTACATAGAGGGATAGAAATATTTTCAATTCATACCTTAAGATCCTCTTCAGCGCCTGTGATTGCTTGGATTAAATGGTCACAATGAATACTCGTCGGTACGGCAGAGGATTCAAGGCCACACGTCATGAATTGCAGCCTTTATGCGATCAGATGTATATTTGATCGGACAAAAATTTACTCACAATGCCATTCTGGTCAAAGTAATGAAAATTGGTAAGGGGATTTCCTGGTACAATGATAGACTAGCTGACGTACTGTGCAGATGCATCTATTAGAAGGTAAATCAGATGTGCTTGAAGTCGATCAAGTTCTGCTAACCTTGCATAGCGACACGCTGTGGTCTCAATTGTAAATATGCTTCCCCCCTGATCTTCCCCCCGTTGCCTAGACTGCTAGAGGGATCATCCAGGTGGCTATATAGGATTTTCTCTGCTAATGTTAATGGTCTGTTCAGGATCGCCCTCACAGTCTCCAACTTCGCCAGCAATTTTTCGTAGGGAGGAGTAATGGTGCTACAGTCCTTCTGCGGCATTGTTGTATGGGTAGCTAGAAGACGAGCATTGTGCCCAACCAGTGCAGAACGAGCTTTTAGGTATTTTTGAGCTGCCTGGCAGGTTGTTCTCTTCATGGTCGAGAGCCAAGTAACGAATCAGAAATTAGCCATTTCGGCCGAATGTTTGGTTTTGCTAGTCTAGTTATTTCTGTAGCATAATACGCAAAGATATAATAATGTAATGTTCAAACCCCTCTAATTTACAGTCTCGATAGGAAAGAAATCATGAAACGAGCAGTAGTTGAGGGCTCGAGGCGGGCAGGTGGTGATCACGTGCTTCTTGTTGTCCTTTCCTCGCACTCCAGTGGCGGCATCAACATGGCGAGTACAAGTCGCAAAACTGCATCCAAAACACCAAAGACACCTGCTCGTGGTCGTAAAGATAATCGAGAGCCACTTACACCATCCTTAACACACGCCCTCAACGGTCTTAAACTCAACAACAATGAGGATCCCTCTAATTCTTCGATTAAACTATCCTCTATGGGTGATGCGGATGTATCAGTCAATCCTTTTCTTGAAACCTCGATTCCATTGGGGCAGTCGCTGAAGAGTACCGCCATTTTCGGCGGCGGCGGAGGCAGCGCATCTCGCACACAAAGTGGTCGGCCCAACTCTCGGCCTGGTAGTCGGAATGGGAGCCGACCTGGATCTAGGACGGGTTCACGTTCAGGTAGCCCATCTAAGCGTAGCAAGAGCGCTCATGGTCCCAAGAACACGGTTAATCTCTACGGTATGGAAACAAAACTAGACATCATCGAGATATCGGCCTGGCCACCAAACAAGAAGGAAGAAAAGAAGGAATCTACGAATGAAGCTACTCCTCGCAGACGTACCAAATCTCAAAGCAATGCTGTAAGTACCCTAGTGTCCCAATCAAATTTGCCATCTAACAAATTCCGGTTCGATCAGCGGCCAAGATCTTTTATAGAAGATCCAGGAGATCGCTATTTCATGGATCGAAATCCAAATGCGACTGTCCTCAGCCTAAGCCCTCCACGTGCAGGTTCTGCGGAGAACTCGCCTGCACATGTGGCGAGACTCGCTTCCGCTGCAAATTTAGAGCCAGATGGTCGAATCCTAACCTTCCATCAGCCGCCCCCTGTCTCGAATGCCGATCCGATGCTGGCCGCACAAAGGCTTCACGCTCAATCTTTGTATGCGCGTGATAAACCAGCGGGATCGGCGAGCAGCAGCTCAACTTCCTCAGCAACAGCTAAAATTCGGCGTCTTCCCACACAACCGGAACGTGTACTTGATGCACCCGGGATAAAAGATGACTTTTATCTCAACCTGCTCGCGTGGTCCAGTAGGAATGAACTAGCGGTCGCTTTGGAGGAAAACACGTACGTTTGGCGCGCATCAACGGGTGCAGCTTCTCACCTTGCGGAATGTTCGGAAGGAAACTGGGTTACTTCGCTGGATTGGTCCGCTGATGGCGCGTTTCTAGCCATTGGAGTCTCTAATGGTGACGTCGAACTGTGGGATACCGATTCTGAGAAGAAGCTGAGGACTATGTCCGGGCACCAAGCTCAGGTAGCTTCATTGAGCTGGAACAACCATATCTTAAGTAGTGGTTGTCAAGATGGAAGCATATGGCATCACGACGTCCGAGTGGCAACCCACCATCAAGGGACTTTACTTGGTCACGTTGGTGAGGTCTGTGGGCTGAAGTGGCGTCCTGATGGCCTTCTTCTGGCTAGTGGAGGAAACGACAACGTCGTGAATGTCTGGGATGGGCGGACAATAGGACTAGAAGAGCCTCAACGAACAGCTAAATGGACCAAAAGAAATCATACTGCTGCCGTCAAGGTTTGTTGAATCTAGATGCATGAAAGCCCCGCTCTAATCTAATTTATAGGCTTTAGCTTGGTGTCCATGGCAAGATTCACTTCTCGCCTCAGGAGGTGGAACGGGAGATGCCACTGTCCATTTCTGGAATACCAATACAGGCGCTCGAACAGCGTCCCTGACGACTCCAGCACAAGTTACTTCAATTCAATTCTCTCCTCTAGCCAAGGAATTCGCAACGACTCACGGCTACCCTACAAATTCTGTGATGGTTCACTCATATCCATCCTTGACAAAGATAGGAGAAATCAAGGATGCCCATGACTCACGCGTCTTATACTCCGCTATTAGCCCTCAAGGAGATGTCGTTGTCACTGGTGCTGGGGACGAGAATGTCAAATTTTGGAAGCTATGGGAAGTTCCGCCAAAGAAAACAAAAAGTGCATCTAAAGGCAGTTCCAGCCATGTTTTGACCCTGAGATAAGGGTTGGAACATCAAAATGGAAATCTCTTTCACAGATATTTGTAGGTACAGTATCACACCTCTAAACAATGTATATCCACATTCTATGGACATTCCATCTTGATGACAACAAAGACCCAATTGCCGATGACCTTGGTCCTTCCATCGATACACTGAGCTCCGGCACCCGTTCATTAACCCACTCACGTAAAATGACCTCTTTCCCCCTGTATTGGTACTTATATTGTGCACGACAAATCGCTTTGAACTGCCCTTCGACTCGTAGAATTTCGAACTCCGCTTCAACTCCCATTCAGCCGCCTCCTGCTACAAGCAGAGTGCACTGTTTGATTCCGTGTCTTATAGTCCTACCAAATCCATTCCTTCTTTCACTTCCATGCCTGTCGGGGCGCCTTACCATTCGTTCATTAGACCGTATCCAATTCGAGTCGACGCATTTGCCACACCTGCTGATGTGCAAGACCTTCCACCTCCAGCTTTATATTTACTCACACACACTCACTGTGATCATATCAATGGTTTAGCGTCACGTGCCTTTGGTGGGATGGTCGTTTGCTCGACGGTAGCCAAAGAGATGCTGTTACGCTGGGAGCCTTCTGCTGAGCGGATGGAATACGACAGAGGGCTGAGGTCGTCGAGATGTCGACCTTGTTCCCATTTGAGGATCCTACCAGTTCGTAATAACGGGAAGGTAGATTATACCTTTGCTCGAGATTTACTCGTATGTTCATTGTCCTTGCAACACTTGGAAGTCTCGCTAAGACGAGTAGAGGGCCATTCCCTTGAACACCCCAACAACTTTCGAATTGTCTGCAACCTTGACGGTTCAAGTCACCGCCTTAGATGCCAACCACTGTCCAGGATCAGTGATGTATGCTCGAAACTTTCTTATTTCGAAAGCTAACATAACCCAGGTTCCTCGTCGAAGGTGACTATGGTGCAGTATTGCACACCGGAGACGTGAGAGCGGAGCCTTTCTTCATCGAATCACTGTCTAGGAACCCCATTTTGCAGCAATATATTCCCCACGCCAATACAGAATGGCCAGCTATTCCCGATTGCCCCGTCCAGGCTCTTGAAGCCATCCATATTGACACAGCCAACCTGTTACAGACGAACGATATGCCGACTAAAGTAAGTCACCTTTTTCACACTTGCTACTATCCGTACTAAACTTTCCTGCAGGAGGAAGCAGTACGGGCAATGATTGAAATTATGGAACTATATGATCCTGAAACTATATTCTACATCAACGCCTGGACATGGGGCTATGAGGATGCCCTCAAGGCCGTGGCAAGAAGATTTTGCACTAAAGTGAGTCTATTATGGAGTAATACCATGATGCTCTAACATGGTCAGATTCATGTTGACAGATACAAGGCCGAAATATATAAACAGAGCGACGACCGATTCCTGAAATCGATCATCACCTCTGATAAAACGACACGTTTCCACGCTTGTGAAAAGCTACGTCCATGTAAGGCTATTGGCCAGATTGGTTCGGACGTGGTGTTTGTCACATTCAGCGAGATGGGACGTCGGCAATGGGAGGAGAATCGTAAAGCAGTACTAGAACACTTGAGGTCAGGGGAAAGAGCTTCTGAGCTAGTACGATATGCGCTTTTTGGCTGTCCGATGTGCTAATCTTTCTATGTAGACGATACCTATGGCGAGACATTCTGGTCTTATCGAGCTGCAGCAGCTCGTTTCCGTGTTTCGTCCTAAACGAGTAGTTCCAAACTTTCTCAACCCATCGCTCAAGGGCCTTGATTGGATCTGTATGCCCGCTATGTTTGAAGGATTTATGGTCTCTGGTGGTGGCGATGAGATGCGCGCAGAAATCCAAGCGTCTAGTATTC